AATAATAAAAGAAAAATGAAAAAAAAAAAAAAAAAGGAACACCTGCAGAATTTCCTCCCCAGAGTCCTGGTACTGGGAGGAGGTGTGTATGTGGCTGTATGTAGGTGGAGCTCTGAGCAGGGCTCTAGAAATGGAGTTAGACTGGCCTGGTCTGCCTAGGGGAGTCTGTGACCCTACCTTTACTGGATCAAGGAAGGGCCTGCCATAGTCACTCGCCCTAGGGGGAGTTGATGTCTGGCAGACAGAGATCTTGGCTTCTCTTTGGCACCTCTCATGCTGGGCAAGGAGTCATATTTCTTTCCCACTTTTCCAAAGAGTTAGGGTCCACCCAGCCTTCACTCCAGGGAGGGGATATGCAGGGCCACTTAGGCATCCTTCCTTCTAGCCCCCCTATTTTATTTTTTTTGACAGCACTGGGGTTTGACTCAGGGCCTCATGGTTTCTAGGTAGGCGCTCTTACTGCTTGAGCCACTCCTCCAGCCTCTAGCTTTGGGTAAAGTCTTTAGAACCTCTAAATTCAGACCCTTTTGAGGGAAGATGATTTTTCTGCAGAAGGCACCTCTGCTGGGCACTTGTGGAATAGCGCATGCTTGGGGTAGCCAGGCATGCTATGAAAATCTTTAGGGAATGCTGAGAAGTAGGTAACCTTTCCTTTCTTTCCTGGTCACATCCGTCATTAGAGGAGAGGTGGGCCTTGGATAAATGCCTTTGTTTTTTCAGATGTGTGTTTGTATGTGTTAGTATATACATATATATATATATATGTATATACACACACATATATATATGTATGTATTGGCATGTATATGAATGTTGTGCATTGGTGAAGATTACTGGAATATTTGGGTGCATGCTGTGTGACAGGCACTGAGCTGGACACTTCAATACATCATCTTGTTCAGTTAAATCATCACAGCAATATAGACTGAATGTTTTATCTCCATTTTACTGTGCAAAAAAGGAAGCACTAAATATGCATATGTGAATGTGAACAAGAAGGTGGCTTTCTGTGTCTTTTTGTATAATAGGAGTGTGTTTGTATATACACACCTGTGCATCCAGGTCCACCCTCCTGGGGGCTGCTGGTGATCCTAGATGACTGACCACAAGGGGAGGTGCTTTCATCTCCACACCTTACTGTGGAGCTGCTAGTTCATTTTCCTAAAGTCTCTAGAACTTGAGAGGGCTGGTTACTGGGTGATTAGTGGTGTCATTTCTCTCTTCAGGTTCATGGTAAAGCTGGCGGAGGAGACAGATGGCATCATTGTCACCAATGAGCAGATTCACATCCTGATGAATAATTCCAAGAAACTGATGGTTAAAGATCGGTGAGCTGCTCCCTGGGTGCTTGAGCCTGTTGTCCCCTGACAGGGGAGTGTTGGGGCTGGGAGAGGAGCCTTGTAGTAAGGCTTGTCAGAATTGACTAGGAGATGGGGGGTGGGGTGCCATGCAGCAACAGGGTGTGGGTGTGTCAGGGGCTCGTCTGTGATCATGCTCCTTTCTTTCCTGGGTCTAGCCTACTGCCCTTCACCTTTGCGGGGAATCTCTTTATGGTACCAGATGACCCCCTGGGCCGTGATGGCCCCACCTTGGATGAGTTTCTGAAGAAGCCAAACAGGTAATAGGCCTTTCTTGCCTCCCAGGCTCTCTGAAGACTGATTGGAAACTTCCCCTTAGTGCTAGCCAACATTTGCTTAGCATTCATTTCACGAAGTGGAAATGAGCTTGAGGTTTGTCTGCTGTGGGTTGGGCTCCCTTCACATGTTGCAGGTCCCCCCACCCACTGAATGCTCATCCTGGGGTCATCTCTTGTGAAGCCATTGGTTTAAAACTAATTTAAATTTGTCTTGGTCAGTGAGCCTTCAGAGCACAGAAGTCTGTAATGTTGAGCTTGTGACAGGTATAGGGAGTTGAGCAGGTATATGTGGGCAGGGTTCTGACTGAACACATGCCACGTAGGAGGCTGTACACTTAGTTCTGTGGGGTGTCAACATATGTGGCTTTCCTGTTGGATGACCTCTGGGGGTGGGCTGCCCCTCTCCCTCCTCTGCCTGTTTTGGTATAGGTTGGACACAGACATTGGCAACTTCCTGAAGGTGTGGAAGACCCTTCCTCCCAGTTCAGCTAGCATGTCTGAGTTGAATGATGATTCTGACCCTGGGCCTGTGGAGGATCTGCAGAACATGGAAGAGGTCAGAGAGGAGAAGGAGGAAAGGCAGGACCAGGAGCAGAGTGAGGGGGAGGAGATGCCGAAGCCAGCTGAGGAGAACCTTGATTCCTCCCTGGCATCGGTGTTCAGAGTGGAGTGCCCTTCCATTTCAGAGGAAATCCTCCGGTGCCTCAGCCTCCATGATCCCCCCGATGGGGCCCTAGATATTGATCTCCTGCCGGGTGTGGCTTCTCCCTACTTGGGCATCCCCTGGGATGGGAAGGCTCCTTGCCAGCAGATTCTCACCCAGCTGGCCCAGCTCACCATCCCCAGCAACTTCACAGCGCTCTCCTTCTTTGTGGGGTTTATGGACTCTCACCGGGATGCCATTCCTGACTATGAAGCCCTTATGGGTCCCCTGCATAGCCTCCTCAAGCAGAAGCCAGACTGGCAGTGGGACTGGGAGCACGAGAAGGCCTTTCTGGCCCTGAAGCGAGCCCTAGTGTCTGCCCTCTGCCTGACAGCTCCCAACTCCCAGTTGCCCTTCCTCCTGGAGGTGACAGTGAGCCAAGTGGCACTGACAGCCATCCTTCACCAGGAGCACTCGGGAAGGAAGCACCTCATCGCCTATACCTCAAAGCCCCTCCTGCCCGATGAGGATAGCGAGGGCCCCCAGTCAGGGGGGGACAGCCCCTATGCGGTGGCCTGGGCTCTTAAGCATTTTTCCTGCTACATCGGTGATACCCCAGTGGTCCTGGATCTTTCCTATGCCTCCCGGACCACTGCAGACCAAGAGACACGGGAGAGCCTCAGGGTTTCCAAAGCATGGTTGATCCGATGGTCCCTCTTGGTACAGGACAAAGGCAAGAGGTCTCTGGAATTGACCCTTCTCCAGGGAATGCTGGGGGAAAACCGACTGCTGACACCTGCTTCCTCAATGCCTCGTTTCTTCCAGGTTCTGCCTCCTTTTTCTGACCTGTCCACTTTTGTCTGCATCCACATGTCAGGTTATTGCTTTTACCGCGATGATGAATGGTGTGCTGGCTTTGGTCTCTATGTCCTGTCTCCCACAAGCCCCCCTGTCTCCCTTTCCTTCTCCTGTTCTCCTTACACACCTACCTATGCCCACCTGGCAGCTGTGGCCTGTGGCCTGGAGCGCTTTGGCCAGTCCCACCTTCCTGTGGTTTTCCTTACCCACTGCAACTGGATCTTCAGCCTTCTGTGGGAGCTCCTGCCCCTCTGGAGAGCCCGGGGCTTCCTCTCCTCTGACGGGGCTCCACTACCTCACCCAAGTCTGCTCTCCTATATTATATCACTCACCTCTGGTCTCTCATCCCTTCCATTTATCTACCGAACCTCCTATCGGGGCTCTCTCTTTGCTGTGACAGTGGACACACTGGCCAAGCAGGGTGCCCAAGGTGGTGGACAGTGGTGGAATTTGCCAAAGGATGTGCCAGTCCCTGTAGTGACTCCCTACGCTATGAGCAAGAAGCCCAACTTGCTAGCATTGCAGCTGAGTGACAGCACGCTGGCTGATATCATTGCCAAACTGCAGGCTGGGCAGAAGTTATCTGGCTCCTCCCCCTTCAGTTCTGCCTTCAGCTCACTCAGCCTTGACCCAGAGAGTGGTCTCCTTATGTTCAAGGGAGATAAAAAGCCCAAGGTCTGGGTAGTCCCAAGGCAACTTCGTAGGGATCTGATTTTCTCTGTGCATGACATTCCCATGGGGGGCCACCAGAGGCCAGAAGAAACTTACAAGAAGTTGCGGTTGCTAGGCTGGTGGCCTGGGATGCAGGAACATGTGAAAGATTACTGCAGGAGCTGTTTGTTTTGCATCCCCCGAAATCTCTCAGGTAGTGAGTTGAAGGTTATTGAGTCCCCATGGCCCCTCAGGTCGACAGCCCCTTGGGCAAACCTGCAGATTGAGGTGGTGGGACCAGTCACTGTAAGTGAGGAAGGCCACAAGCATGTGCTTATTGTGGCTGACCCCAACACCCGCTGGGTAGAGGCATTCCCACTGAAGCCCTACACGCACACGGCTGTGGCCCAGATGTTGCTTCAGCATGTGTTTGCAAGGTGGGGTGTTCCTGTGAGGCTGGAGGCAGCCCAGGGCTCCCAGTTTGCCCGGCATGTCCTGGTGAGTTGTGGGCTTGCCCTGGGAGCCCAGGTAGTCACCCTGAGTAGGGATCTTCAGTTCCCCTGCCTAGTGAGCTCAGAGGCCTACTGGGAATTCAAGAGAGCCCTGAAGGAGTTCATTTTCCTGCATGGCAAGAAGTGGGCGGCCTCTTTACCCTTGCTACATCTGGCCTTCAGGGCCTCGTCCATGGAGACTACGCCATTCCACGTCCTGACTGGGGGTGACATGAGGCTGACTGAACCCTTGTGGTGGGAGATGAGCAGTGCAAACATTGAAGGGCTCAAGATGGATGTTTTCCTGCTTCAGCTGATTGGGGAGCTGCTGGAACTCCACTGGAAGGTGGCTGAAAAGGCAAGTGAAAAGGCTGAGAACCGGCGTTTTAAGCAGGAGAGCCAGGAGAAGGAGTGGAATGTGGGTGATCAGGTCCTCCTATTGTCCCTTCCCAGGAATGGCAGCAGTGCCAAATGGGTGGGGCCCTTCTATATTGGGGACAGGCTGAGCCTGTCACTCTATAGGGTGTGGGGCTTTCCAACCCCAGAGAAGCTGGGGTGCATCTATCCCAGTAGTCTGATGAAGGCCTTTGCCAAAAGTGTCACACCCTTGTCCTTTAAGGTCTTTGAGCAGTGAGCTAGGGTAGAGGGGGAGCCCCTTGCCCCAGGCAGTGCTCTGCTGCTAGGCCTCCCCCTGCTCCAGGAAGTGCTCTCAGCCCTTGGAGGCCCTCAGTTGTGCCTTTTGTAGAGAAATTGCTTCATAAGGCTTTGAAGAATTGCCTTGACCTAGGGATGAGTGTCCCTGCAGAAATATCCCCAGCTTGGGGTATTCAGAGATTTGCTAAAACCTGTCAAATACGGGCCTCTGGCAGTTTTATACTAGGGAGTAGAAAGACCCCTTCTAAAGTAGGCCAGGCTCAGTCTCCTCCAAGTATCCTCTTCCCCCTTCACACATATACAGGTGTGTGGTGTGTGTGTGACCTCTTCCCATTTTACACCAGGCTGGCTAAACCATGAACCTCTGTGGCTCTGGACTCAATTGGAACCATAGTCCTCTTCCAGACAGAAACCTCCTCAATTTCTATAAATTTGGAGAGTCTTGGTCCTTGGAGTTGTCACTGACATAAACCTACATGGGCTGTGGGAGGCAGCTGCCTCCCTAGCTGCCTGGTCAGCTTTCTTAGGCCAGACTTGGCCTTTCTGGTCATTAAGAAAGAGCTGCAATCTTCCCAGGCCTTGAGGGCAGTGGCTCAGGGTGGGAGGATGACCAGCCATGAGCTACCCATTTATCAGCATGGGAAAGATGGGATGGGGGGGGATGGGGTGGCCTACCTCATTTGACTCCAGCTGATGGAGACAACTCCAGACTCCTGCTGTGATGCTGTCAACCCCTCAGAATCAAGGGTCTGATGCCAAGCATGGCATCTCCACCTGAAGAGCTGCTTCTACCAGACCAAGGGCCTCTGCCTCAGTTTCAAGTGGGGGAGGTGTCTGAAGTGGGTGGTCTGGCACAGCCAGATGCTCCCAACCCTTCCAGCCCTACCCCAAAGTCCACAGTCCTCTACACCTTCTGTCTCCACTGTTCCCTGCCTCCCTAAACCATACATAGTGTGATTGTTTTGTCTGGCTCACCCTGTAGTCCTTTGGATCTGCCTTCTGTGTAGAGTGAAAGCCGAGCTCTCTCAGAAGTACTCTGCAAAGATTACTCTCACAGCGAGAGTGGGTTTCTCATAGGGGTATGTGTGTATATACTCATCCCTCTGAATTGCTGCTGTTGCTGACCAGCTACATAGGTGAGGCCAGCACCCTGTCTCTGGTTGGGCTCTTTTAGTAGCTCATTTCTCTAGGCACTCAGCCAGTTTTCTGGCCCAGCTCAGATTTCCAGAACTCTTGGCATTGCAGAGAGCTGGAGCCAGAGGAGAAATTGCCATTGAGTCCAACTTGCTTGTTTTATAGTAGAGGATAGAGGCCCAGAGAGGGAAAATGACTTGCCCAAAGTGACACAGCCAGTTGGTGGCTAAGCTGGGACGAGGATTAAGCTTCCTGACTCAGTTAACCATGAAAAGCATTCTGGCAACAGGTTCAACAAGAGAACCATTCAAAATCCTGTACCGATATTCCATCTCCCCATTTTTCAGCTCTTGTAGACAAACTACCTGGATGTTATCCTGAAACCAATTCCAGCTGTTAACCCTGCCCAGGAGTGACTGATGGGGTGATAGCTGAGAAATTGAAAGGTTAGTGGTAGGATTTTTGCATATACTCCATTTCCTCGCCCCACCCACCTGTGCTCCTTTTCCTTCTCTTCCTCCTCTTTAATGTTGTGTCTAGCCACACTCTCCCTCCCTCCAGGCTGTGTGCATTCCTATTAGCTACACTTTTGATCTTATACCTTTTAAGTGAATTTTTTCATTTTATTTGTCAATAAATGGGTTAAACTGGAGCCAATATTTTTTTTTTTTTTTTAAGCTTCAGACTCCACTAGGTAGTAAGGAGGATGGGGATAGTCATGGGGTATGGCTTGGATGTTTCCCAGCTGTGTATGTGTGTGTTTGTGTGTGTGCGTGCGCGCGCAGAATTTAAGCCTGGATAGTGCCTTTTCAAGATCACCTGACTCAAGCTTTTGGTGTACAGGTGAGGAAATCAGGGTGCAGAGAGTGATGTGCTGAGTAAGACCCTCACGGCTGGTTCACAGCAGTGTTGTGAGAACTCAGGCTTGGTTTCCAAGCTACTGCTCTGCCTGTGCATATGGTGGAAATGAATATGAATGGTACTTGGTTCCAGAATTGGCATTAGTGCTAAACCAGCTGACATACCAGAAATCCCATAGACCTCGGTTTGGATTCTGGCTATGAGAAAACAGGACAGATATGTGGTCTGAGGCTGGTTTCCCCATTTGTAAAATACATGACAACAATTCCTAACTGATGGGATGATGTGAGGTTTACAGAAAATAATCTGAGTGATAGGCTAGTGTGTTCCCCGGGGGCAGAGTGAGCATTCATCATGTACTAGCTGACATTACTCTTCTGCCTGCACTGGGAACCCTTGTTCTTTTTCCCTTGGGCTCAGAGGCCTTCTTACCCCCAGGCAAACTTCTGACATTGGACCTTTGCTACTTGCTGCCTTTCTCACCTGTCCAGACTTCCGCTGGCACAGGTGTGCGGTAGTAGGAGGAGACGTACCCTTCCTGAGAAGTACTCTTCATGTGTCACCGTCATTCATTCACTATTTATAGTATAGCTACTGTGTGTCAGGCTCTGTCTAGCTGTGGAGTGGGTAACAGGTAATGTGCTTGACATGGTGTCTGTCCCATTGGAGCCCACAGTCAGGTGGGGAAGAAAGACAATTGAACAAACACATACCGTTACAGGATGATGATAATGCAGCAGGGCCTGGAGTTACATGTCATTCAGAGAGGCCATCCGAGAGCCCCTTCACCAAAAGCAATACATCCACAGTTAGCACAGGCCAAAGAACAAAAGATTCAGAACTCTTAAGTGGAAGACTGACTGGAAAGGTGGTCAGCAAGATCCTTTCATTTTCTATTATAGATAACTTTAAGCAATAATCACGTGCTACCCACACTGTTTTCTGAAGATTTTCTTCTTTGTTGTTGGATGAGTTACAAGGTCTGAGTAGAGATTTGAAATTCCTTCTTTTCTGGAGGAGTGAGTAAATAGCTTGTCCACAGTTCAGCACCTTGAACATTATAGACTGCTAGCCACTGCTTCTCTCATTTATACTCATCATGAGTTTTTCCTTCTCATTCGGGGCACTGGCAGGTGGGCCTCCCCATCTCCAAAAGAAATACTATAAAATTGTAGTATGTAATATATCTATAATGCAAACTATAAAGTTTTCCTGTTCCTATGTTAAAATTTATATAAACCCCTGTGAGGGACCACCTAAGGGACTCTCCTAGCAACTATTTACTAAATCCTTGTGTTCATGGGTAAAAGTTAATATGCCTGGGAGAAAGAGACGTTTTAACAGGTAAAGAGCCACTTGCAAACAAAATAAACATACTATGTGTATTTTTTATTTCTTTTTTTGATCCCTGGGACACACACATCTCAATTTGTTTGCTCTTTCGTATGGTAACAGCAACTTATATTAAGTACTTCCTCTGTGTCAGGCACTATTCTAAGTGCTTTCCAATCCTGGAGGCAGATATTCATTTTCTAGGTAAAGAAAATGAGTAACTCACTGAAGGTCATGTGCATCTACTAAGTGAGAGGCTGTATTTGAACACTGCCTCTTACACCCACCACTATCACAGCTAGGCTAGCTGTCTCTCCTGCAAGTATAATCACTTTGTTGTTAGTTAATCCACCCACTCCCTAACCTATGTCCTCTTCCTCTTTTATTAATGCATTATACAGTTTCAGTTAAGATTTCTCCATTTCAATTTGATCCAGCTTAAGATGATTCACAAACTAAAACAGGTCCTGGTTTATTTCTGTTGGTTCCAGAAATGATCCTCTTGGTCCTGTTAAGTTTTGACTCAAATGCCACACACTTTCCTTTTCCAAGTAGTGTCATTGTCCCTCAGCTAAGTGGTGCGATTTCCTATTTTACATTATTGTAGAAAGTGAAAAATGAAGCAGTAGAGATTCCAACAGCTGGATTGTGAAAGAACTGGTAAATCATGTTAAGAAATATGGTTTTCATTCTGAGGCCACTGGGAGCTTCTAAAGGATTTTGGCAGTGAAGTTCACTTAGAACATTATGGCAACTGTACGGAGCTGGAGGGACTGGGGCAACTGGAGGCCAGCTCACTAGTTAGTGGGTTTCTGTAGAAAATATAGCCAAGAAACTGGTGGTTTGCGTCTGGGTAGATGGAAAGCAATGAATAGAACCGGTGGATATGAATGACTGGATATAGGTTATGAGAGATGGGCAACTGGTGAGAAAGGTCAATTTCTGGTTTGGGCAACAGGAAACCTCCATTTCTAGGCAAAGACAAGGGGCAGAGAAGAGATTTGGTGAGCAAATCAGGTTTTGGCATGTTGGCTTTCAGATGGAATGTATGAGCCTGAGGTTTAGGAGAGAGATCCTGGGTAGGGATCAAAATGGGGAAGTTTCTAGCATTTTGATGGACATTTGTGTTATTGATAGTGTTAGGACCAAAGAAATTCTAGGGCCGAACCTTAAGGAAAGCCAAAATTTAAGAGAGGGACAAGGTGGGTGTGGTGACACGTTTATAATCCCAGCATTCAGGAGGCTGAGGCAGGAGGATTGTGAATTCGAGGCCAGCCTGGGTTACATATTGAGACCCTGCCTCGAATGAAACAAAACAACAACAACAACAAAAAAACCCCAAAACAAAACAGGCATCAGTAGAGGATTCTGACAAAGCATGGCAGAGGAGGAGAGAAAGCCCAAGGAGTGCAGAGTCAGGGAAGTCGGAACAGAGTGTTCCTAGGTGGTGTGGACAGCAGGGTTAAACATTAGGGAAAACCTGGGCAGCAGGAGGAGTAGGAGGGGTCTGTGGACATAAGCGACACAGAAGTGAGAGTGTGACACAGAGTACTGGCTTTGGGCAGTTTAGGTGGAGCAGTGGAGGCCAGAGTTTACCAGTGACTAACAGGTGAGCAATTGGTGAGCACAGAATTTATATTGATATTTGGCTCTAAAGAGGAGACCAGATGATGCCAAGTAGCTTCAGGGGCATGTCCAGTTGAGGATAACTGTACCTGTGGCTACAGCTACTTCCACACCTCTGTTCTTATATAGTTGAGACTTGAGCTCTTAAACTTTGCTGAAGAAAAGGAGTGAGTAGAGAGGAAAGTATGTTTGCAGAGAACGGGATCCGTGACTGGTGGAGGAAGATAGCTGCCTTGACAGGAGGCAGAATTCAGTTTCCACTGAAACTGACAAGAAGAAGCAGAGATGGGGAGGAAGGTGAGTCTGTGGATGTGGTAGAGGGAAGGGACCTGCCCTGTATCTGTTTTTTTAGTGGAGTAGAACGTGAGGTCGTCTTCTGGGGTGTCATTAGTGGGACAAAAGGTTGAAAGAGAGAACAGATATTTGCAGTTGGATTCTGGAAGGAGGAAAGAAGATGGTTAAAGAAACAAGAGAATTGCTTGACTACTAAGGAACAGGTGTGGATGGAGGTTGTGGATTTTGATTCACAGTGCGTCCTTCATGAGTGGGATTCACTTCATTGTACTTAGCTGCCAGGGTGTGGGCAGAGCAAAGGAGGACAGTTGGATTCTATTTTTAGGATCCTTAAAATCTGAGGGGGTTTTGGTACCTGGAGAGGAACACTCACCTCTACCTGTGTCTTATTTATTATTTAATCTGTGTACTTCATAAACTTACTTAAGCAAGAACTGTCTAAACCATGTAAACACTATTTGTAGAACAAATCAAAATTTGTACAATTTGCAAGTCAAATCATTTAAATATTTATTATAAATCTAATAACCAAATCTTCCTAAATATTTCAATAGACTTGCCAATCTAGTGTGTCTGTTCCTATAAAACCTTCAAACATTTTGGTAAAGCAACCACATCATTACAAATATTGTATAATTTTTAGCCACCACTTAAATGCATGATAAAAATGGGTTTGTGCATTGAAGATACTATCTCACTTCACATTAATTTTTGAATTTGGTTATCAGAAAGAGGAACATTACTCAGTGTCTAGGAAGTTTTGGATTATTAATCAATGAATTCTTAGTTGGGACCTGGGAACTGATTTGCCTTTAAGATGATTAAAACCTGAGTTGGTATTTGTCTTTTATTTCTTGGGAATTTTTTCAAGCCCACACATTTTCTTTTTTCATTTTGGTGGTACTGGAGTTTGAACTCAGGATCTCACACTTGCTAGGCAGGCACTCTACCACTTGAGCCACTCCACCAGCTTCTTTTTGTGTTGGGTATTTTCAAGATAGGGTCTCACAAACTATTTGCCTGAGGTTGACTTCAAGTAGCTAGGATTATAGACGTGAGCCACGAGCACCCAGGAAGCCCACACATTTTCCATGCATTTAGTATAGTGTGTTGGATGCCTTCTCTCTACAAGATGCCATCTTCAAGTTTAAAGACTATGATATGCAAATGTCTCAAAGTCTGTGCCGCAATCCCTAGAGCCTCTGAATATGTTGTCGGGTGGCAAAAGGGACCTTGCATATGTGACTCAGGTTATAGACCTTAAAACAGGGAGTTGGCCTGGGTAATCTCAAACTCAGAGAAGTTTCTCCACTGAAGATGGACAGGGATAGGTTAGAGAGATTCAAAGTGGGAGAAAGCATTGGCTCACAGTTACTGGCTGGAAAACAGAGGGTTCTGGAAACCTCAGTTTCCAGGGAACTGAATTCTAGGTGAGTTTGGAAGTGGCTTCTTCCCCTCTATTAAGGAAGGCAGGCAGCCCTGCCTACACTTTGCTTTTGACCTTGTGGAAAACAGCAGAAGGCTCTGTGAGTTTTCTGACCTATAGAAACTGAGATAACAAGTAGTTGTTTTAAGCCACCGAGTTTCTTATAATTTGTTACATAGCATTAGAAAACTAATGCAGTAACTTTAGAATGGATGTTATTACCAAACTGATATAGACTTTTTTGCATTTTCAAAAACTTCTAGTTGTCTTCTCCAATAGCCATTTCCCCTCTTTTCCTTAACATAAAATGTCTTACTTTAAGCTGGACATGACTACCTGGAATAAGGACTATATTTCCTGAACCTATCTTCCTGGCTTAGTGTGCCAAGTGTGACTAAATTCTAGCCAATGAGATATAGTCAAAGATGTTGGGAGCGACTTTCACAAAGCTTCTGTAAGGAAAGGGGTATGCCCTTTCTTCCTTCTTCATGGGGGTTGTTAGGCTGATGTAATGGCTGAAGCTCAAGGAGCCATCGTGGGTCGCACAGGGGCAGACTAAAGATGGTAGAACAGTAAGAAGGGAGATTGGCATAAAACTCAATTCATCCCTGAACACTTTATTTGCAGATTCTTTTATGTGAGACAGAAATAATCTCCTATCTTCTTTAAACTATTGTTCTTGGTTATAAAGAATGGCCAATGGTGAAAGAAAAGTTATTTCTTTTTATCTCTCCCCGCCTCTTTTTGCAGTGCTAGGGATTGAACCCAGAGCCTTGTGCATACTAGGCAAGCACTCTACAACTGGGTCCAATCCTATTTCTTCTTAAAACCACAAATCCACATTGGTATTTCCTACTTAACCTGAACATTACTAAATCCTTTTTTATTTGACTATAATATACAGTTTTACATTTCTTCTCTTTACACTATAACATACCTGCTTGTATCCTGTAACCTCTGATCCAAACGACATCTTTTCTCATTGACTACCCTTCTCTAGTTGCTATATGGATAGGTTCATCCATGCTGGACCATCAGGACAGTGGGATAAGAAAGAGACAAGTTTATGATCCTGGTAGAGAGTGGCTGGAGGGATAAATCATGGAATTTCAGGTAACAGGAAGCTTAGGAAGACAGCATGGACCAGAAGGAAGAAGAGAGATGGTGGAGATGGGCTGCAACAGGCACAGTGAAGGTAATTAAGTGAGAAAGGTAGGAGGGAGGAGGTGGCAATGAGTGTGCCCTGGCTGAAGCTCAGACTTCAAAGGTGGGGTCACCAGCAAGTGGACAAGCAAGAGGACACAAGGTCACTGATGTGTTCTATGGTCTACATGTGACCTTCTACCCCCCTCCTCCAGCTCTGTACACCCACTTTCAGCTCTCTTGTCAGCCAGAGCAAACACACACCCAAATCTCGGGTGGGGAGGCGAGGGCCAGAGTCCACTTGAGACCTGGCACAGACAGACAGCAGGATCTGTGCCTGCTGGCTATCCATGTATATGTAGAATTTGCATCCTGTTCTGGCTAGGCATATGTCCCTTCCTGCCTCACCAGCCACAGGCTCTGGACTTCTCTGTGACTCTCCCCACACTCCTGCTTGTGGCTGAGCCTTCCTCTAGTCCATACGGTGCTGGCTGAGATCCCTGATACTGGCACTCCTCGCAGGAAGGAGCCTGCAGGGTACACTGAAGTGGGTCCATCTGGGCCCCTGTGGGAGCCTATCAGGCTTACCTGTTCCACCTGTCCCCAAATAGCACTGGGCAGGAAGCTGGATTAGAGGAACAGGAGGAAAAGAAACTACGAAGTAGTGCAGGTCCTTTCCTGCTAAACCCTGCCTTGAGCCTAGGGCCACAGGCAGAAGGAAATGCAGTAGGAGGCTGGGAGAGCAACTAGGGTGTGGGGTGGTGAGAAAGAGAGCCAGGTCTGAAGATGCCACAGCTCTACTCTTAACTGCTGGGTGTTTGACACAAAGCCTCATGCAAGGGGGTGGGATACAGGCAGATTGAGCCAGCCTCTCTCCCGCCCCAAAGATGCAGTTTCTGTGGTGGGGGAAGGCAGAAGGCCGTGATCAGGGGTTGTATTTCTGTCTTTCAATGGTCTGGGTCCTCAGAGTGGGAAGATGAGGAAGCCAGAGAAGCTTGAGTATTTCCAGCCTCCCAACAGATTCCCCCGGCGCAGGCGGATGGACACACGGTCCCCAGGGTCCAGGGGAAGCAGCACAGAGCTGGTGGCTGCCTCCCGGGTCACATCAGGATCATTGGCAAAGGCTGAGATGACAGGCCATGTGTTCAGCATCAGGCTTACCTGGGGAGGGAGCCCAGTTAGCGTCCATCCCCCAGCGCTTGGCTTAGCACCCTCATTTGCCCAAGGGCTTCCTCTCAGGACCCTGGGGTTTAATGGGAGAGCTGTGGGGTGGCCAGCATTGGCCCACACTTCCTCCACAATCTGCTAGGCAGGACCTATTGGTCTTTGCTCCTGACCCCCAGGAGAAGTCAATGGAGGATTGCCCAAGGGCTTAGCAGGGCTCCATTTGGGATCCCTCCCTTCCCTCCTAAATGCTCAGATCACCTGGACTGTTTGGCGGTTGTACACCTTTACCACATGGAACCGGAAGCTGTAGACTCCTCGGACAGGTGCTACGAAGGAACCTGAGGCCCGGTCAAAGCCGCCACCCTCATTCACCAGCACCTGGGGGAAGCAGATCCTGCTCAGTGGGGCCTCAGGGATGTTGCTGGGGCTGGGGTGAGGTAGTGACTAAGGAAAGGGTGGAAAGTATGAGTGAACAGAAATGTTCAGATTCAAAAGAAATGGTGTGAAGGGGTGATGAAGAGTGTGCACATGAGTGAGGGAAAGGAAATGGTCAGCGGCCATAATAGAGGGAGATATAGGGAGTTGTTTTCCTAGTCTGAGGGATGGCCAAGTGGACTTGGACATTGATTCCAGGTCCTTGCAAGTCCCCTGGACTGGGGTAGGGGATTACCTGGTCGAAGTAGATTGCTCCATTGGTGCCGTTGCCGGTTTCTCCAGCTGGCTCATGGTGGTGGCTTCTGACTGCAGCAAATGCTACTCGTCCAGGGGGTGCCTCTCCCAGAGCTGCTCCCCCAGGACCTCCTGCAGTAGCTCTGCCTGGCTCACAGACCACCAGGCACTCACCCTCCAGCAGGACAGGCTCTGACCCCTCCTGGGCCCACCCTGCCCCCAAGGCCAGAAGTACCAGGGCCAAGGGCAGCTTCAGGCTGTGAAGGGGACCTGGTAGCCAGTGTGGCTTTGCTTCCAACATGGTTGAGAGCCTCTGTGGCCCACGAGTGGCCCTGACTTTGGTTCCCTTTCTTCTGCTTTTGGTTTCCACTCTTCTGGTTCAGGCTTTCACTACACCTTGCCCTGCTCTTCTGTCTTCTTTCTGGGTCTCACTATTACCTGGCCTTGGCACCTCCCTCTCCATATCTCTCTCTGTCCCATGGTTCTGTACTGCCTTATTCTGTTACTCCTGCTGTCACTACAGTTCCCTCCTCTTTGGCAGAGCATGAAGTGACAGCAAGCAGTTGGGCTCTGGGTGGGAGGAGAAAAGAGATGAAGACAAGACTGGAAGGCTACTGCCAGGGCTCCAGGGCAGTTCTGTATGGGATTTCAAGGGAGGGAGCCGGGGTGATGAACTAACTGTATGTGTGTGGGGTGGGGTTGGGGGAAGGCGGGAAGAACGGGCTCCCACAGCCCCTTCCTCCTTCTCATCCCTCTTCAAAATTCCTCACAAATCAACAGCCCTTCTCCGTGTTGTCTTCTCATTTGTTGGAAGGTTGTCCTTGTCTTCTCCACGATTGTTTTAGTGGAAAGTGAGCCAGGAGCGCCACTCTTTCGTGACACAGTGGATTAGGGTCACATCACTTTCTTTGGAACTTTCAATGTGTTTATCCCGAGAAACCACCGCGGAGAACCCCAAGGAACGAGAGACAACGAGAGAGCTGGGTGGGGGAGGCGTGAGGGGACAGGGCCGGGAGAGCTGCTAGCGACGGGGATGGGCCGCGCAGCTGAGGGCGGCGGGAGGAGGGAACGCGCAGTGGGCGGCGAGCCAGGGACAGGGCCAGGGCAGGCCCAGCCCGGGGAGGAGCGGGGCTGACTCCGCCCCAGGCCAGGAAGTGGCTGAAAAAACAGTTCGAGATGTGTAGAGAAGTCTGCGCTGGGTGAGGGACCCGGGCCCAGATTCGGGTCCCCTGGGCTGGGGGCACCGACGAAGCGGGGGCCCGGAGGCGCCGGGGGACACAGGCTGGAACGCGTGGCCCGGGCGGGTAGGCGGCCCCTTCCCAGCGCCCGGGTGCGGGAGGCCGCGGTGGACAGCGCGGCCCGGCCAGGGGTGGCGGCTGCACTCGGCGGTGGGCGGGCCCGGGTGGGGCGCGTGGCGCACACAAGAGGGACCCTGGGCAGCTGGGGGAGGGGGAGGCGCAGAGGTGGGAGTGGCTAGAGGTGGGAAGTGGCGGACAAGGCCGCTGCTCTCCCCCCAGGACAGCCCAGTTCAAGGCCCTGGGGAGGATTCATCTTTAAGAGGCCGTGGTCATCCTTCCAATCCTTCTAGCCTCCAGACCGGGCTGGAGCCCCCCACCCTTCCTGCTCAGTGCTGTGGTCATTTTTCTAAGGCCATTGGCCCTCCCCAGATAGAGTCTTGTTTACCCATGAGTTCCTCTCAGGGAGACAAAGACTGTGTTCACCTAATTTCCTCAGCCTTCTTACCCTTCCGATCCTTGTTACCTTCTGGATTATTTACCACAATCGTAGCTAGGTGCGACCTGTTGAGGGTTGGTGTAGGCCAGGATTTAGGTTGAGGGGAGGGTGAGGCTCTGAGCTGCCTCCTCCCCTTTCAGAACTCTGGGAAGAAGACATGCCTACTTGGAGGGATGCCTCCATGACCCCTGACCGCTTTGCGGTGTCTGCTGAGGCAGAGGACAAGGTTCTGGAACAGCAGGCCCGCTTGGAGCGCATTTTCAGTGTGGAGATGAGTGTCCTCTCCAAAGACTGTCCTGAGAACCCTCACATCTGGCTGCAGCTTGAGGGCCCCAAGGAGAATGTCAGCAGAGCCAAGGTGAACTCCCTCCCCCATCTCTCCAGGAAGCAACCCCCACCCTCTCTTACAGAGTCAGAGGAGTAAGGACTGGAACCTGGCAGCCTCAGTGCCCTGAGCTTTGATGGGCTTCCTAACTGTCTAGAGTTTTGGTTTCGTTTCTACTGTGACTGCCTAAGTTCTGTAAGGAATCACTTTGTGATTCTTTGGGGAGAGTAGAGAGAATCCAGCAGGGCAACTGGGCCCCATCAAAGAACTCACTGG